CCCAAACCATTCTATGTTTCTATGATTTCTCTTTTTTAATAACCATTAATGTTGTTGGTATTTATTTCTAGCTATTCACAAAGAGAAACCTGAAAAGCCAGAAAAACATGAAAAGAAAGCACCTTCTAAAGGTAATGCAGATTATTATTACGTGTTCTACAATTTTACATTTTTAGTGCTTCTATAGGTTGTAAGAGTGTGGAGAGGAACATTTAAAGTATAAAGTTCTTCTAGTCCACTAGAAGATACACTAGTCTTCTAGTGTATGCAAGAGTGTTTACTAACTCACCGTCTGGGTCTTCCATCACATCCAAAAATAGATTTTCATTTTCTTTATTGTTTTGCAATAACATTTTCATTTTAGTACATGATTTGTACTGTCCTCCATGGCAGAAGTGGCTTTGGTTAAGATTCACATTTCTAATTTTCATATATATTCTGAAGCAATATTGTGTATGAGGTAATTTTCAGTATTCTTTTGACTGATAATTACATCTTTAGTCATGATTTAGACAGGGGGATTTAAAAATCCAATCAGCCTGCCCTGTTATGCCATTTTTTAAAGACTAACATTTATTATTGCTTAGCATTTGAATGTTTTTGCTCTGAAGTTTTCTTTTTTTTTTTTTTTTCCCCCCACTTGTGTTACTTTTTGGAAGCCAGATATTACTATCATTAAGTTAGGTTTCAGTTTTTGTCTCTTCTTACTTTTACTCAGTTAACTCTTGAAAAAAATACTCTGCAATATATCTTAATATCAGTCGCTTATGGCATTCACATTAATCTCATGATGATATGCTACATTAGTTAATTAGGTTTAATTTCAATTTGTTCAGACAATATAGATTGAAATGTACAAAACAGTCTTTATTGGTCTTTACATTAAAGAGAAATGTGAAAACAGAAAGTGGGAGTGAAGAAAGAGAAAATGTGGAATGAAGACTTAAAGCCTTAAAAAGACTTTGATAGGTAGCTGTTGTCCAGTCACTCTTTAAAAGCAATATTTAGTCATATTTTCTACTTTCTGTGTATAAATTGAAAGTGTAGGATTTTTTCATAAAATTAAATCACACTGGAGTAACCCAGAGAAAATAAATGCACACAGTGCCTGTGTAGATTTGAAAAACAAATAACTTCCAAGATATTCCTGATGAGCAGCCAACATATTTACCCATTTATCTTCTGATAGCTAACCAAATAATCACTTAGAGCTCTAATGTGTTTAATGGCAGCCATGACTCCAGTCACTGGCTGGAAAATTTTATGAAGAATTTGGTCACTTTGTAGCTAGGGAGATATGCTCCTGCAGTATGACATATAGACATGCTGCCCTCTCTTGAACAGTTTCCATGCCATGCAAGTCCCCTTGGGTGGACTCAGTGCACTAGGATGCTCATTGCCTTCAGTGTTTCCTAAGGCACGTTTATGCCGGCAGCATGATGTGCTTCATTGTCAGGTTCTCCTCCCTTTTGTTGGGGGTCTGCTCTAAACTGGATCAGCTACCAGCAATGCTGAGGGGCCATTTCACCCACTTGCAATCCCTAGAAAGTGAGGATGCTCAGGTCCAGGCCAGCTTCAGGGAACAGAACTGAAAATCAGGTGGCTGCTTCCCTCACAGTCAGGAGATCTTCTCTACACTCAATAAAAAGACTTAGGTTGCATCTTCAGCCCCTGTCAAAGGCTCCAGAAAACTTCAGTGATATAAATGCTATTTGAACATGTCATCTAATAAACAGCTATCTCGAAAAAAGAAAAAACAAGTATAAACATCAGTCATGGCTCATATGCAGCAATTCCAAGCTGGTATTCAGTTAGAGAGAATGTTGTTGTTATGTAGTTATCACTTAAAGAAAGAAGTGTAATCCAAGGCTGCTTTGTTCCAGCAATATGTCTGGATGGCAACCAAGAGAGGAAAGATAGAAGTCTCCACATAATATTTTGACAGCCTTTCTGGGACATAGTAGTGTGTGTGTTTGCATAGTGTATCCTGTGCAGACATGAACTCACTCAAGCTGGGCTCTGAAGTGAGCTCCATGCTCGTGACTGTGTTTGTATGACAGTGAGCTCAAGCTAAGAAAAATTCTTTTCTGTAAGATGAATGTAGCCACATGGCTTCCTGTTATCTGGAGCACAAGAAGATCAAGACTGTATCTGCTAGGAACTTGAGCAGAGCAAGTTTGTGTCATCTGGAATTTGCAGTATAAACATTCCCTACAAAGCTTCAGATCTGTGCGACTGCCTTGTCTTTTGATTAGGTGAGCCTCAACAGATATTTTGAAGCTTTTTACCCCAGTGTGTGAACCTGACAAAAAGAAGCTAGATTTTTGCAAACTGAAAAACTGGGATCTTGAAGAAATATGACATTGCCAGGGATGTTGTTGTGTTTTAGCAATAATTTCTCATTCTTTGCCATTCTTTTTTCCTAATATGCAATTGTACTCATTTCTAGCAATTCAGAAAGGCAAACCTGAAAGACATGAAAAAGATGAAAAGAAATCTCCTCTCAAAGGTATTTATTTATACTACATTTTTTACCAGAATTTACATTAATATTCATAAACTTTATTTTATTGGAGCAGAGAATATAATGCATATGAAAAATCTGCATGACACTATAATGAAATTAAAACAAAATTTGAATTAAAATGTCTTTAGAACATCTAGGGGTTGTTTGTATGTATTATCACTTTTAAGATATGTTGAAATTTCAAAGATGCAAATTAAAGGTATGAACGACCATTTCCCTGAAAAAGAATTAGGCCTACCCTTAAGTGGTTTGACGTACACATTTTCGCTATAACTAGTTAAGAAAATTCTTTCTTCACTAACCAGCAATATATTTGGTCATGCCATGGCTTTTTTGAAAGTAGGAATTGTCCCCTAAAAAAACATCTGTATTAGAATGTATTAGAATTCTTTGGTTTACATATTGATAAAATCAGTCTAGTCAGATCAGTGGCTCAATGGAAACAGATGTAGAGTGTCTTAGAGAAGACAAGGATCTTGTAGCGTTCAAATTTTGCCTCAAGTATGGAGACCTTCAGAACTATGAAGAAAACAGAAGTGTGAACATCACACTGGACAGATCAGTTTAAAAGTTATTCAGTGGCATTTTAAACTACCATTGGATTTTCCACTGAAGTGAACTAGAAATACACATCTTGTCACCACTCATGTCTCAGATGAGAAAAAGCTGCTGATACATATGAGCAGAAGGAATACTCCTGGTCGCACCAACCTCTGTGTACCTTCAGCCACTGATATTTACAATTCAGTAATCCTGCTCAGAAACCTTCTCAGTCTGCTGCAGGGTGCATCATGGTCTGTCTCAGACTAGTCTTTCAGCTCAGGGAACTGATACAGAGGGAGACTCAAGAAATCAAGAGTTCTTGGCAGACACCTAGAATTGGTGCATAAAAGCGATCCTTACAAATAGCCATATTTTAAATCAACGACCCTTACAGAGTTTAGCTCTGATCTCTGAAGTCTAAAATTATCCAGATTTAGCCTGGAAGTGCCTTGTATATTTGTTTGCTTCATGAACAACATTTGTCTCCCTAGTTTATACCATAAAATCTAACATATTGTCGTTACAAACATTGACTATTATTTGCCACAGGCTACTATCAGCCAAATACTTGGTACAAGACTGAAGACAAAACATGCTTGCATCTCATATTTCTGTCCATCTGTCTGTCTGGTTTAGAGGGGTTATAGCTTTCGTCAGACCTGAACAAGATGTTAATGATGAAGAAATACTCATTAGTAATAGCACAAGATAAAATAGATGGTATTAAGTCTTATTCTAGGGGGAAAGAATGACACTGAAACCTTTTTCTCTATTGCCTGCAGAGGAGAAGAAAGTAAAGAGCACTAAAGTGGAAGCAAAAGTTAAAAAGGAAGTGATGAAGGATGGAAAAGGAGAAGCAAAGACTGCTGAGAAGGTCAAGCAGGCAGAAACTAAAACAACAGAAGTTGGGTTAATAAAGGCCAAACCGAAAGTTAAAGAGGAGAAAGCTCTTCAGACTGTAACTAAATCGGAAAAGAAAGGTAAACAAAACCAAGAGGAAAAAGATGAAGATCTTGATAAGGTAGTGGGGAAGAAGCAGAGAGAATGGAGCTAAAGCTGGCAAAGACCAAAGTCCACCCATGAAAAGGAAAAGTGCAGTACAAATAAATTCCAGATGAATCTCAGACCCCTAGAAGGAGGCTATCAAGAATAAAATAAGTTTAATCTAAATAACCAGAATGTTCTGTTTGTCATGGCTAAAAATTCATTTTAGTTTAAATTCCTCTTTACCAGGGACCAATTTCTCTTAAAATAGGTCTGAGTCATTTGCTCAGTAGAATATTATGTAGTGTGTTGCTAGTAAAGTGTTTTTGGAAAATACAGACTGTCCAGTGACGTGTCGGGAATAGTGTTTTGTTTCTACACCTGCATATTTCCTCAGTAACAATAAGGAAAGTAGCAGGAGAGGAAAGGGAATGTAAGAATTGCTATTACATCAGGTTATATGAGGCATTATCAAGTTGTCGAGCATTATATGATTTAATGATATACCTGCCTGAGGTAACTTGATATGAACAGCTTCCAAATTTCTCCTAAAAAGGAAAGAAATGCCATTACTCCGGTCAAAGGAAGAAATTAAGTGATAAAACAAAGAATCAACATGCACCAACATGAAATGGATATGTTAACTATATATTCCTCTTTGTCAGAGCCAGCCTGAGTTCTTCTACCCCCAAGTTGCACTGACTGGTTCCCTGCTTTCCCTGTGGCTCTTCCATGGCATTAGGTACAATTTTGTATGAATGAAGGCAGCAGGACCTGCCTCTCTGTATGAATTGCCACACTGCAGGCACAGGATTACTCTGACATTAATAAAGGCAGCTCAGCATTGCATGGTGCACCTATCTGATCCTTTCAGCTGATAACGACAGATAAGTTGTTATGCCTGAGCATCAAAGCAGTCATCCTTGCCTGGATATCTGAATCCACATGGGATGATTCTCTCAAAATTTCACAGCCATCAGCTCTAGACCCCTTAGGAGTTGCCTACATTATATGTTTCTAGAAATATGAGAGATTTTGAGACATAGCGTCCTTTCTGACATGCATAGTGTGCTGAACCAGTATATTTTAGCATTTGTTTGTCTTCTAGTTAATTTTAGTTTTTCCTTGAAATACTGGAGCCTTTGAGGCATAAAATCAAAGCAGCATCTTTCGTGCTGGTTGCTGCGACCAGGGGGAAAGTTCAGCAAATTATTGAGCTCCTCTTGGGTGGTGCAAATCTCTTTCAGTTTTTGTCTGCTCTGACAGAATTTCAGTGCACAGTGGGATCCACTCCATACTGTTCAGGATGAGGCTTGAAAAAAGCAATGGTGTGCAGATGAGACACTTTACTCCCTGACAGCAAAATATTTTAAGAAGGGATCAGAAGATCACAGAGAGTAATAGTAATAGGGAAGAGTGGTGGGGTTTTTGTTTGGGGGTTTTTTTTGTGTGTCACTCTCCTCTCCCTGATAAATATTAGCAAAATGATCAATCTTTTGGGGGGTTTTTTTCGTGTGTGTCACTCTCCTCTCCCTTAAACTGATAAATATTAGCAAAATGATCAATCTTAACATCAAACATTAACAGATCACTTTTGTAAGTCTGGTTTAGAGTGTGACCCCAGTGACTGCACTGAACCGTGGACAGGTGAAAGTGGGAATGAGCAGCTGGAGTGGAGGAAGGAAGGAGCCTCTTCAGTTGCCCTCATCACTGGAGATAGAGCTGCACACCTTCCTTGAAAGCTGCCTTTTCAACTTTCATCCTTCTTTTTTCCACCTTAAGCTGCTGCTGCCCAGTTGGATACTTTCAGAAAATTCAGTTCTATGTTTCAGTCCCACTGTGACCCAAAGTAAGCATAATTTTGAAGCCAATATGGTTTCGCCAAGATTTCCTGATACTGCAATACTTACTTTTCCTTGCTCAAGGGAGTAGTTCTGACAGCTTTTCTGCAACAGTGTAAAAAATAGAACAGTAATCACAGTAGGCTTATCATGATGTACCTGCTGTTACATAATTCCTTACTCAAATTTAAATTTTAAAAGATAGGTCATCTCCTAGGTTAAATCAGATGAGATCCAATGACAGAAATATCTATGACTCTTTTCATCAATAAGAATCTAGTCTCAAGCTTTGACATGATTTATTAGTAGTCAGATGAATATCTGTGCCACTATTACAAAGTTGTAAGATAAAAACTGTAGTGTGAAGTTTTCTTTTTAATGGGAGAATTTAAGTTAAACTGAATTTTTAGCCATGAAGAGACATTTGGAAAAATATATTAGTTTAAAATTCTTTAGATTTCAGTCTTTGCTGATTGCTAGAATTCACATGAACTTCAATGGGATATTACTGTGCAATGCACCTTATTATGTCATATACAGTAGAAATGCTATTTTTGTTATTCAGAGTTTAACATTCTGCCTTCCTTTTTTTTTTTTTTTATAAATCCCAGTTTTCAGGGGATGAGTTACTAAAGAAATCCCATGAGATTAATACAAAATATTTATTCTCAGGTACAATCAGGACTAGAGCTTTTTAAAAATGTTTATTCAAACTACATTTCCACATAAAAAAGACCTCAAACAAAGAAGCAAACAAAAAACCCAAACCCCAACCCAACCAACCAAAAAAAGTTGTTTCCTCACACATACGCTACTACTTTTTTTTTCAGAAAATTAACGCATAGACTCAGGGCAGATGTTGCAGCCAAATTGTTTAGATTCCTTGAGGATGGAATCCAAAACTGGAGCCAGTCAGAAAGATAATTTTGAATTCCTGAATATGAAAGTGTAAACTGTTGTGACTAGTCATAGTGTTTGTAGCTACAGCCCTCTGTATGTCCTGAAAGGTTTGCCTCAGATCCTACAGTATGGACTAGTATTACCCTCACCATCTCAGTAACAGGAAATAGCTGGATGGGCTGCTATCGACTAGTAGAAACAATTGGCTATTTGCTGAGGTTGTAAACCCTTTCTTAGTTTCTGCAACTCCATAGGAAGTCATGACTTGAAAGCTGTTGCTCTCTACCAGAGGACTTCTGTGGCAATCAAACATAACAGAGCAGAAATCACATAAACACCTCGGCATAAACTAATACTGATTTTCCAGTGAACTATGTAAGAAAGCAAATAATACAATGAGTGTTACATATTTGGAATATTATTTTGCACTTAAATATAACACTTATGCCAATTTTTAAATTTTAAGTATTCCAAAGTCTGCATAATTTTGTTTTGAAGTTGGCAAAGAGAAAGTAAGTGGCTTTGTAGGTGAATAGGAGAGAGATGCAACAGGAGGTGAAGAGAGGAAGAGATGGAACTTCTGTAGCCTAGGAACTGTGCTAGAACAGTCTTGGACAGACGGATGAATATGCTTAACTCAAGGATAATTGGGAACTAACTTAGCTATCCAGAGTCAGCATTTGGTCATCAACATTAACTTTCAAAGCTAATGTCCCTTAGAGTCCAGTGGGGCAATGTGTTGTTTTCTGGACAGCTGAAGAATCCAGCAATAATATTGCAATTCTTTTGTACTGAGGTACAACTGGTAACTTTTCTTCGCCATTCTTAATGTTAAAAAAATTTTATTAAGGTCTTCAACTCTGCTTATGTATAGGAGAAATCAAGATAATAACATTTCTGAAATTAGAGTTTCATTTAGATTCAGAAGCCTTAATTTCTGAATAGCATAGTTTTAATATATGCAGATTTAATATATACATATATATATCTGTAAAGATTAGTGTTTGGAAAATAATTCTGTAGTTAAACGATAAAATTCTGTGGAAAATCTCATTGCTACAGGAATGTAAGTACACAGAGTTCTCTTTATATTCCCATTCACTAAATGTACATATTGACTATGCTGTTAAAACAATATTAACAAAATACTGTGATATAAAACTTTATTGAATTTTTCTATCACCTGGCTGCAACTATTCAAAATGAATCTTCAAGGACAAGAAAAAGTCCCTGGGACCTGTGGCCAGGCAGCAGTTTGCACAGTATTATGCATTCACTCAGGACCTACACCAAAACCAAGGCTGTGTGCTGCTGACCTGGGGCACACACTACACCCTGCCAGCCCAGGAGACCAATTGTCTCTTTCTGAATGTGTAAATTACTTGAAGGTCAGGAAAAAAACCCAAACGTACAAGTAATACTATCCATGAAATGTGTCTTTGCACTGCCAAGCTTTACCTTTACTTTTAAATAGAAGCAACATTTTTAATTTACCTTCTTCATTACTCTTTTTTTTCCTTTTTGTTCTGTTAGATCAATATGCATTCTGTCGATATGTGATTGACATGTTTGCGCAAGGGAATTTTTATCCAGGTACTTTCCTACATCATGAACTCTGTTCTAATACTCTTCTGTTTCCCTGAGAGTTTCTGCTCCTGTATGTATTAAAAGTGTGTTTTGTATTGTTGAGAGGTCTCACAAGTGCAACAAAGAGTGTGCAAATCATTTTAATAAAGCATAAGAGCTAATGGCTGTATTATTAAAGCTTTTAATTTTCTGTCTACAATGCATGAATTAAAATTAAGATTACTTTAAAAGTAGAGTCAATGGAAGGCTATAGAAATTGCTAAAATTTTCCATGCTTTTTTTGGCTGAGGTGCAAGAGGAAGGAGCTTATTGTTAATAGCTTATTGTTTTTTTTTCCCCAGAAATAACAAGCCTTAACCCTAGAATGCTTCAAAAATAGAACTGCAATTGTTGTACTAGGTATATGAAGTATCTTAGCTGATCTATTAGTTCTGTGCTTTATCTTCTCTCTTCCCACATCTCCATGCTCATCTGTTCTAACACAGACACTTAATTCTTAGCCAAAAAAGAAGCTAGAGCTACTGATGATGACTGAACATCGTCTCATTAAGTCGATCTACCCTGGCCTTGTTTAATGGACACACTTCCTTCTGAAATCCAGTGCAAGAGGACAAGAGAGGACATAATCCTAGGAATGATAAGCAATGATATTTATGAAAAGAGTCAATGGTTGAATATTTAAGGACACAACAAGCATTACAAGCTTTGTTTAGTCAATTATTTTCTCAAGGAGCTCTCCACTGGTACTTCTCTGAATTGGATGTATTTCTTATCTCTACCTTGTGACTTTAGTCCTCTCTTGACATTCCCAGGTCCAGTCAGAGCTGGGAAGTCCTAAGGATGTAGCTGAGAAACAGAGTTTCTCGAAATGGGGAGAGAGAGGACACAGATTTTTGCAGAGGGAAAACAAACAAGCTCTGGATTTTGGAGGGCGAGGGTTTGAATGACCTGTTCTCAAAGAGAGGCACAGAGAGATAGCAGGTTCCATTAAAAGAGAGCAAATTATATCACCTCTAGGACTTTAAAGACAGAGAGTTATAAATAGAGCGGCTGGTTTAGGCTCAGGGTGGGAAAAAGCTTAGCAAAACCTTCGAGACCTTCAGTTACGCTTTGATTTAAAAAATAACCCCCTGTACCAGGTGTGCTTCACACAGTCTCTGGCTTTACACAGCTGTACCATTAGTAAATCATAACACAAGGACTTGCAGGGAGATCTTCAAGATCTCTCCTATATTCTCCTGGCAATTGCAAGCAGCTTTGACGTATGTCAGAGCTCTTTTTTCCAGATGGCTCCCTGGGCTGTTTGATGCTCTCCCAAGTCAGAACAGACACACTGTAGGAAGGGAGTTTTGGAGAAGATTGCTTTTCAGTTTTGACCTTTCCACCTATGAGGAAACTGGTAGGAAAAATGGAAGGGAGCAGGGAGATAGAGAGGGAAGTCTATAGTGACTTGAATTTCAGAAAATAAGAGACATGACTGTCTGCTCTTGCCTCCCAGTGTTTACCTTGTGTTGTTTCAGTGTGCTGTGACAGAGTTATACTAAGAAACTGCATGTTAAACAGCTGAAAAATGTTCAATGGTCATTGGGTGGTCAACTGGCCTTGCAGGTGAACAAACAGGGTGACAGCTTAAGGCCCCAGAAAGAGGAAATAAGTCATAAAGCAACTTAAATCATCTGATTTGTAGGTGAAAAGGAAGAGGACACCTTCTTAATTCACTATCTCCAAAAGTCCACACGTAGGTCACCCTGTAAAGCAACTGCTTTTTGACCTGCGAAGTCATTTGTCAACATCTGAAGTTAAATGCTGTGAATGGTTGTTGTAATGGAGCTTGATAAATTTTTGTGGGAGGTAAAATAAAACATTGTATTCAAAATAAGCTTTAGTGAACCTCACAAGTTATGAAAGGCAGTGCTGAAATGTTGACTATGTCTCTGAGAAGCAAGGTAAAGGCCAGGTATGCTCTGTGCTCTGTATAGGAATCGATGAGGTGAGTGCCACCGAACACTGCCCTGTGCTTGTTGCTGTCTTTCTCAGGCAACATGCTCACTTCATGCTGGCCTTTGTGAACTGAATTATTACTGTGATTCATTTTCTTCAGTAGATAAATGTGAGGAAAATGCAAGCACACTAAGTCCCTTTAATAATCCTAATATCCAATTAGCTTTAAAATCTGCTATATTTTACCTTTTTATTGGTTTATATCTTTTATGGTAAATTAGATTGTCTAAACAAAGATATTTGAGTGCAATTCAGCTAAGGAATTTAATTATGGTCTCCCTGACACCACAGTACTTTCAAGCCAGGAATTGTTTCTGTCAATCCCATTTGTGATGGAGAAAAAGCACATTTTTTTACCTTCACACAGGTATATTGGCTTTTGTAAAATGGTTTACACCAAATAGCAATTTTTGTCTGCTTGAGTTTATAATAACAGTGTCCCACTCATTAGATTAATTAGGCACAATATATGGATTTATAAAATCAGTAGTAACAAAACCATTCAATATTTATCCTTTGATAGTATTTTTTGAATATTTGCATTACTGAAAAATTCATATTAATTACTGCCAACATCAGATTGTTTTAGGTTTATATACATTTTATGCAAGAATTTATAGAAAAGTAGACCATTTAAGATGGCATTTTATAGAGATCAAATAATGAAAAGTAAAATTCAGATCCTAGGGTTTCTTTAATTAGATACACTTTTCAAAATACATCCATTAATCAATTTCAACAGTTGCCTGAACAATCTGTTGTGGTCATGTAATGCTCTTTTGTTGATTTTAATAAATGAGACTGAAATGTTGTTCATTTACTCAAAGTTTTGTCATATAACTGCAGTCTTATCTTTAAAAAATGAATGAAATGTACGTAAACTAAACACATCAAATTCATGGGAAGCCATAGAAAGGAGAATTCTTGCTAAGCTGCTTCATGAAGCATTAGCTAGTTTTCTTGGTTTTCTGGACAGCATTTGTCCCTGATACTGAGTAGTTTTATGCCAATCCTCCTGTAAACCACAATAATTATGTCAATATTAGTATCAATTAACTTCAGAGACTTCTATTTTACTTTTCCTAAAAGTATCTGTGGTTCTCAGCCCTTTACAATAGACATCAGTGCAGTTTTAGACATAAACTCAAACAGGTTTTACTAAACCATAAATCCATCTCATGAATATCATGACTGCAACAGCAACCTACCCTGGATTCTACTGAGACACTTATAGATAGTCCTCTTGAGCTCTACTGTATACAGAATAATAAAATTGTTTTCTGATTTTGTCCGATGAAGTAAGGAGCATGAGAATATTTTTTACTTTCTGTCTAACATATGTATGATAAGTGACAATTTCTCAGAGGGACTGCTG